GAAATCGATTTTATTGGACAGAGAGTGATGCGTGAGCACGTAGAAATGCAAATGTAAGTTATGGTAACAGATAGTTTTTCTCTATAAGCTCATTTCTCAATGTACATCTTGTTATCTCTTGATTCTTCTATACCCAAAAATAAACACATACTTTGGTTAAAGCAATATTCTCGTAAAATATTAACACTGCCTAACTGGAAAAGAGAAACAAAATTTAGTAGACACAAAACTTGTTCGACACGTCGTTGATTCTTTTATTAGTAAAGTGCTGCAAATGTAAATGTGAAGCAGAATTTGTTTCTCTTTGATTGACTTTAAACGAGTTACAGAAAACAACATCGCATTTTTCTCAACAAACCCTAGCTGTTTATTTATTATTATTCACAGACGCTGTTATTTAAACTTTCAGGGTACACTGAATAACTAGACATGCATCCATGATATAAATTCGAAACTCAACAACAATAATTAATCGAAAAAATGACATATATCGTTTCTTTTTTTGTTAGAGAAATAAAAATGCTTTTTTCTTACTCGTCATGGGTTAGTTTTGCGAAACTCTCTCCAAGTCTCCGCAGAAGACAGAGTTTCAGTTATATACTCTAAAATAGGTGTTATAATGGTTTTTTTTAACCTATTTAAAATCTTACTTAGGGCTATCCAAAAGTAGTGAGGGAGGTACTATTTTTTCTTATAGAAAGCTTGAAAAAATTTTCTTTTTTTATGAACAGATAGAGCGTCTTTCGCTCTATTTTTCTATGCTATTTGATCACTATTCAACTAATATCATAATAATAAAATTTCGATAAGATCTATTTCTTTCGCATATGTACTGGTAGCATGAACATGAATGCTCGTGAGTATTTTTTGAATAATGTTTAATAGCAACAAGATAGAGAACTGCAATTTTTACCATTGAAAAGAGGAGATGACGACGCATCGAACCATATATTACTGATTTTGCTAACCTGTTTTTTGTAAGGTTTTTAGTTGACCTTTTAAAGAACAAACCTATCCCGTGAGTTATTTACAGTGAATTTCCAATAATCAGGTTCACATTCAAACCGCTAATCGAAGATCTACAAACTGCGAAAGACTCAGCTGTAAATTTAATTATTCGGAGATAATACGTATTCTAGACGAACCTCTACAACGATTTTCGATCAACTTTTCTGTTTTTTCTTTTTTTCATAAAAAAAGCATTTTTCCGACGGTTAGAAAATTGAATAAAAACCGTCAACCGACGTTTGAGCGCCCGACATTTGAGCGACCGACGTTTGTGCGACTCCGACATTAGACACTTTTCAATATGACTTTTTGCCGATCAGGAAAGTCGAATGATTATTCACTTCGATAACGATGATCAGAACAATTTTTTTGTCGTCCGATTATGAACTGAATTATTTGGAGATCTGAGGGTGAGGCTGTGTAGGGTAAGGGTGGGTGTGGGTGAGGGTGAGAGTGAGCACTTGGTGCTGAACGGTCGTTATTACTCGAATGTCGGTCGCTCAAATGTCGGGTCGCTCAAGTGTCGCGGTCGCTCAAGTGTCGGTCGCTCAAGTGTCGGTCGCTCAAATGTCGGTCGCTCAGATGTCGGGCGCTCAAGTGTCGGCGCTCAAATGTCGGGCGCTCAAACGTCGGTTAATCAATAAAAACACTTCAGAAATCATATTAGAAAAATCAGTAATCTACAGTTCGATGCGCTTTCATCTCCTCTTTCCAATGGTGAAAATCGCAGTTCTCTATCTTGTTGCTATCAAGCGTTATTCAAAAAATACTCACGAGCATTCATGTTCATGCTACCAGCACATATGCGAAAGAAACCGATCTTATCGAAATTTTTGTTATCATGATATTAGTTGAATAGTGATCAAATAGCATAGAAAAATAAAGCGAAAGACGCTCTATCTGTTCATAAAAAAAGAAAAATTTTTCAAGCTTTCTATAAGAAAAAATAGTACCTCTCTCACTACTTTTGGATCGCCCTACGTATATTTTTATTTTGTCATAAAATATATACTTTGATTTCGTAAAATTTATTATTTACAATCAACAGTTAGACATTTCGATTACATCGTGCAATCTTCTTCAGTATAACATAAAACAAATTAAAATAAAATTCGTATAAAATTAATAAAACAAAATATGTATATACAAAAGTAATTCTCGTTTAAAATGTAGTGTGTACATTACAGTTATGTACACTAAATGTTAAAACTGTAATGTGACCATTCTTATTCTTCAAATATGTTTATACCTCTAGTTTAACGTTTGCTTTCTGCTATTTTCTCTCTCACTCGATTAAACTAGAATGATGAAAGAGTTAAAGAAAATTAGACTATTTGTTTTATTTTATTTTATTTGAGCGGACCTAGATTAAAATATATATGCGATGTAAATATATAACGTGGAAGATGACCTTTATTATATGAATTTGAATGGAAGGGTTGTTAAAGAATGTGTTGATAAACTAGGCATACATCTAGATAATCTCTTGAGGTTCAACGAAAATAAATCCTTATAGTTTTTTCTATTTTTTCCTAAATTTATATCTCGCATTTTGGTTTCGTTGTGTGGTTTCTGTAGTCGAATTACTAATAGTCTTAGTTATATTTACTGGATAAAACGGTTCTCTTGATCTCGGTTTAATCCACTGTTTTATGGTGAATTTCCATTGTGGACTAATTTGTTTGCATCGATTATAACCTAAATTTGCTATGGTGTACACTGTCTCTAATGTTTTTCTTCTATTTCAGTTCTTTTTTTTTATCAAATATCATACTGTTTTCAAAATTTGTAAAACATGCATCACCATTTTTCTGATGCTGCGCCAATTCTGAGCCCTTTATATCTCTTTGCTTCACTTTTCTAATATGCTCATCTATTCTCCGTTTAAACATGCATGTCTCACCCACATACATGTCAGCACACATACAGGGTATACCATACACTACGTCTTTTTCTCGTTTGGCTAAAAGATTTTCATTCTGTGCACTTTTTCTTGCTTTATTTAATACTGAACCAATATTACGGCTGAGCGTTGTGTATATTCTAACATTGAATTTAGCTCATTGTGTTCGCAATTTTTCTGTTAGTAAGTATCTGTGTAGAATTACAATTATACTTTACCTACTTTTTTAGAAATATTTTCTTTTCTACCAGTAACATTTCCATGACGTCTTCATCGATTTCGCCTTTACCTACTAACTCCGATTGTAGTATTTGTAGCTTCTTGTGAATGTATTTCGACGGGTCATCATTTAACTGTGTATATGAGTCTGTGTCTAACTTCTCCTGAATTTTGTTGATATAGTCGACTATATCCATCACAACTACTTTTCCTCCATTGTCTGCTGGTATAACAATGATATTTTCATCTGTTTTTAACTGTTTTAGCCATTTTCGTTGGTTCCTTGGGAGGTTATCATAATGTTTAGTTTTATCAGATTAGAGATATTGTGATAAAACTCTTTTGATTTCACTAACGATATCTTTCTTTTGCCCTAAACTCTTTCGTAAAGAGTTTTTTGACACTAACTTTGTCTGCTGTACACACTACATTTTAAACGAGAATTACTTTTGTATATACATATTTTGTTTTATTAATTTTATACGAATTTTATTTTAATTTGTTTTATGTTATACTGAAGAAGATTGCACAATGTAATCGAAACGTCTAACTGTTGATTGTAAATAATAAATTTTACGAAAACAAAGTATATATTTTATGACAAAACAATAATATAAGTTATCCGACTTCGTATATTAACAACGACCCTATTCTACTTAAATATTTAAAATTTGATATCACTTTCGGTAACAACCTTTTAAAATGGTGGTTACAACCTTTTAACCGTCGTTCGCAACCTCTTATCTGTTGGTCACAAACTTTTAACTTTGCATCACATCTTATCCTATCCAATAAATTAGTCAAAATCGATTTGAGAGTAGAAATCAATTTGTGGCAATTTAAAGCACGAAATTATTTCGAAATCATTTCGAAATCATTCGAAATCAATTAATTTAAACCAGTTTAGTTAAAACTAATTTAAATTCATGTGAAGTCATTTTTCATCTATTTTTGGGTCAGAAATTAGTTTAAATCAATTTGAAAGTATTTAAAAGTTTCAATGAGTAATTAATTGCTCAATTAATTGACCAATACGTTACACGATTTCAACCAGCATGCAGCTAGATAAGTATACCTTTTAATATAGGTGTAAGTGGGCGCTACGTTTTTGCAGCCAGATTTTTTTGCTTACTTAGTCTTGCTTGGAACGTATTCTGAAGCACAGTCTCTCAAATTCTTCCATGTCTCGGACTACTTATTTTCTAGATAAGATTTTCGGAGAAGCACTTGTCGAGCATATGCTTCAGTATGTTCATTGAAGGTATGCACATCTATAGTGCTTTGGTATCAAACTCAAATTGAAATCTTTTAGTACCGAAGTCAATACTTTTACGACTATACATGACAGCTAACCTCACTTTAAAGAAAAGTTACTTTTTACGTCCTAGTAATAGTTGTTGACATTTACCATCTGCTCTGTGATGTACATTTTTTCATTTCCCTTGTGGATAAGGAACTCATCGGTAGTAACAAAGATTTGTGTAATAAAATCCACCCTTTTCACTAAACATTTAGCAGAAGAAGCTAGAGAAATACTAACTACTAACATTTTAGTAGTTTTCATCTCGGAGTGTATCGTTTACCATCTGCTGTGTGATGTACATTTTTTCACTTTTCAACAAAACAAAAAAAGCATTTAAAATAATTAAAATGAGAAAAGTTCATTTCTTTCTATTTTCTTTTCTCTTTAATAAATACAAACAACACTCAACACTAGTTATTATTCTAGTTTTATAAATGAGGAACAAATCGATCGACTTCTAGTAATTACGACCGTTATATGTAGAAAGTGTGTGTGTGGTTCCTATCAATAGTTCAAATTAAAAGCTCTATCCAGCCAACATTTCTCATTTGTCAAAAAGACAAGAATATGCCAAATTTGACTCGTATTAAAGATATTAGTCGTACGTTGAATGTTTTTAAAGATTCAGAAAAGAAAACACCACATGATCTACGTAAACAGTATTTAAGTACACGTTTATTTATTGTTCTATTCATGATTTCTAGTTTCATTCTAATTCTCTATACATCACTGGAACCAGTAACATTAACTAAAAGAGTACAACAGCCAAGTTTTGCTGAATATACTGAACTTAATCAATACTATACACAGACACTTGTTTGTCCGTGTAATACAATTTCAGTTTCATATGAAACGTTTATTTCATTTCAACCAACTTATCACCAAATATGTCATTCTGATTTTGTTAGTGAACAATGGATAGAATATCTTCAACAACAAATGTTTGATTTATCTCCTATTATTACTCGATTATTTCAAACGTTATCAATGTTTTGTCTCTTGAGTCAACAAACAATCACAGACGAACTTTTATCATTTAATTTCACAACATTTATAACAGGAACACTAATACCGGAACGAATTTTTAGTCAACAAGCCCTTGGATTCATTAGTACATTTCAAGAAGGAATTAAGAGTTCATTTTCAACATCATTAACGTTGATAACAGATACAACACAAGCGAACGGATTTTTGACAGTATTAGAGACAAATTACTTGTTAGATTATTACTTAGACAGGGGATTTGATACTGAAATTCTCTTCTATGGAAATTGTTCCTGTGGTCTATCGTCGCGGTGTTTGACAGAAATCGGTATTTGGTATAATAACTCATATATCTTGAATATTACCGGTTTATATGTGGGTTGTTTTATAACAGAAGCTCTTCGTCAATCAAATCTTGTCTTTTTCTACAATCAATCGCTTTTAAATCAATTACAAACGGATTTTCTTCTTGACAATGATACATCTAATGTAAGTGTAACAGCACTTGATCCATCTCTGCCAACTAATTACACACCTGCAACAACAATTGGTGATATTCTTAAAATGTTAATGATTGAAGACTGGAATTCTCATATATCATATGAATCCTATTTTAGTACATGTCAACCAATTTCATGTACATACAATATCATTGCACATAACAGCTTCATTTATATTGTTACAACAGCATTTGGATTAATCGGAGGAATTGCAACTTCTCTGATGTTTTTGATTCCCTTGATCGTCGGATTCATTCACCAACGAAAGAAAATTTCAGCTGTTCCTGATGATGAAATAAACACAGGTAAATAACTGAAATGGAAACATTGTTGTCTTAAGAGCAGCTAGTAATTTCTTCATAAACTTATTTCGAGCTTTCGACGAATCTTTTCGTCATTTTCAAGAAACCATGAAGTAACAATAAATAAACATTAAACAAACTTTTGAGCAGAAGAAAGTAAACTAAATAGACACTATATTACAATGAGTCATAGAGTGTATTGTTGGATAAATGGAAGAACAATATACCAGTAGAAGTCTCTAAATATAGATGTCTATATGTTAGTAAATTCATTTCATTTTCACTTTTCGATTTTTGTTGTATCGAAGACCCTCTGGGAATATCACGAGGGCTACTGAACGCTGGCCCAGACGCAACGGTTGCGTTTAGTTGAGGCTGTAACGAACTTATGGCCAAGGACTCTTTGACTAAGAGTCTGTACGCATTATTATTCTTAGAGATCATGTCCTATCACCAACTGTAGGACAATCGTTTAAAAACGAATACTCTGTATCAAAGGAAATGCAATCTTGGGAGAGAGGATTTTCAATAAGAGAAAAAAAACTCCAGTACATACAAAACTAAACATATCAATTTAAGAGTCAGGGACTAGGGGTTATCCACCATGCCGAATCCAATGATAACATCAGTTTTCTTTCATTTTGACTTTCATAATGGTGTTCTGGAAAACCTGGATTTTGAGCTTACAGGTCTTAGGATCATTTTTATAAAACATTCTACGATAATTGAAATTTTTATTCAATGCCCTCATCCAATAGAGCACATTGCACTCCATATAAAAACTTATTCTGATAAAAATAATTTGATGTTTAGAGCGAGAGAACCAAGGTTTTCTGGAGATCTTCGTTTGTAGAAGAGTTGGAAAGTTAGAAGCTTTTTATTTTTGTTTTGATAAACTATGTAGTGCAAATGTACGGGGTTGCCAAAATTATATTTCAATAACTTAAGGTTCTCTAGGAGTTTTCTAGAAACCTCCTAACGGCTTTGCAACTGTCAGAATAAATATGAAATAAAATGAAGCTAAATTAAACTTTTATCACAGATATATAGTCCGAAATGTCCTCTACGAAACTAGATCCAAGCGACATCTTAGAAATCCATGATTCGGGAGTTATGGACGTTTTTCGTGAACACAATAACTTAATTATAGTGCAGAAAAGGGTGATTTAGGAGTGCGATTCCTATTTTGCTGCCTCTGATTTGGAAAAAATGGGTATTCTCAGCAAGAGAAGAGGATCAGGAAAAAAAGCGATGCGTACTTTTGTTCAACTTTAAATGGCGATTCGAGTGACGTATGACGATCGGAGAAAAGTTTCAAAACCAGGAAGGAGATCGGTTTGCGAGAGAGGTAGCTCATTTTTTGGAATGCTTACTCTTGTCAAAATTGTGGAACACAGGTATTTTGTTTTTTGTGACTCGAAGATACACGATTAGACTCAGTTTTTGATGGGGAATCCAAATATATCAAATTCAAAAAATTACAGTGAACGGAAGGGGGCAAAATTTTTAAGTTTTCTCTGAGTAATGCAAATTTTTTGTTTTCTCGGTGCTCTTAGTATTTTGAGAATTTCTCTACAAAAACTTGATCAAATTCGAATTAAAAGATGATATTCGGGATCAGCGCAGTCAGGAGTATCTGAATATGTAGCTTTCGACCAAAAACGAAGATAGTGCTGCATTTTTGAATTGCGGGCACCTTACCGAGAAAATTAAAACAAAAAGCAGTCTAATTTGGAAAAGCTATGGCTCTTATTATATTTCCTTTTAGAACCACTAAATCTATTTCAAGATCGTATTCGTCTACCGTGGTCTCGTATCAAAAATAAAATTTGTACTTTTAACATCTTTAAAAATCCAGAAAAGACAACTAAGCATGATTTAACCAATCAATATTATGCTACTCGATTATTTATTCTTTGTCTTACAATATCTATGATCATACTTATCATTTACACTGCTTTAGCAACTGTTACAATAACTGTTAAAGTTAAACAACCAACATCATCTGTCTTTTTACAGCAGCTCTATCCAAAATATAATCAAACACTTAATTGTCCATGTACACAAATATCAACTGAATACAAAGAATTTATATCATTTCAACCAACATTTCATCAAGTATGTTCAAGTGACTTTATCGGTCAGTCATGGTTAGATTATAATACTGTAAATCCGACAGTTGCATCCATCTCTTTAATTGATTTTCGTGCTACAATGTCCTATTCATTTCTAGCATTATTAACATTCTGTGAATTATCACTTGAAACAATTCAGAATACTCTCTTAGTTTTTAATTCATCAACATTTGTTACATCAAGTGTCATATCGGAAAATATATTTCAGTTGCGAGCTGATGAATTTATTTCATTATTTCAAGAGACAACAATTAAATCATTTCAAAATTCATTGAAAATGATTAGTGAAACAACGCAAGGTAACGCATTGTCTGCTTACCTAGACGTTTTTCTCTATAATTCATCACATCAAGTACTATCTGTTCCACAATCTTTTTTGATCAACAACAATACTGGTGAAATATGTTCCTGTAAAGTTAACAAGTCATGTGTAACTGATAGTTGTGTTTATAGTTTCTGGTTAGATGACACGGACCTAACAACTTTATTCAACATTCCACACTTTTATCGTGGTTGCTATATTATAGAGTCATTACTTTTATCTACTCTTGAATGTTTTTTTAATCAATCTTGTTTAAATTCAATCAATACATATTTATATGATATATCAGTACATCCGTTTAATGCAACCATAATGAATTCATCTTTAGAAAGTCAATACAAAGTGAACACAACGATCGGTGAAATTGTTCAACAATTAATGATTGAACAATGGAATGATCAAATATTCTATGATCAATATTATTCTACATGTCAACCAATTGAATGTGCTTATACATATCAGAAACAAGCTGACTTAATCTATACGATTACCACCATTATTGGCTTATTAGGTGGAGTTACAACTGTTTTAAAGTTATTAATACCATCGCTCGTTTCATTTCCTAGACGAGAAAAAGATCTAGGAGCAGCGACAGATACAACATCCCCATCTCCACAAAGTAAGCTATGTTAAAGTAACCCTTTGTGAGGCATTTAGTAAAACACATGTTTTGAATTGTGTTTTCAATGCTGTGGTTCTGATCATACTATATCCAATTATGATTTGATGTGAACCATACAACAGACGGAGATTGTGTTCAAATTGTAAAATGCCTATAGTCGCGTGCTAGAATGACATTATGTTTCAAAAATAAAGATTATTCTCTTCAGGTCTCACAACTGAAAATGTCTACACGTTAGTCCGCAGCAGTAGGTATTATATCATGCTCAATAGATGATAGTGAATAGCTAGTGAAAATGCTAAAAGAATTTCTGCTCTTGACGCTTCTTCTAGAAGTTATGGGAAATGTTTGTCCCTTTTTGCTAGTGAAGTACGGAAGAAATCAAAAATTGTATAACTTATTTAAGAATCTAATTCGGGTTCTGGTATTTCCTGTAAAAGTAAAGAAAACAAGTATTGAGCTTTATTTCAACACCTCAAAATGTACAAAAAATACCCCTTCAGCTACCTGTTTTGTTCGAACTGATACCGTACTGAAAACTTCGACAACTGAGCTCTGGTAAATTTTTGCTTTGGAATGAAGAGTCGCAATACTTTTGAGTAGCTTATTATTTTCCTTCCGTCACTTGGAGCGCTCTGATGAATAACATTTTTCTTTTATCCGCCTACTATGTAGAACCATATTTAAATCGTAGAAAGAAATCTAAAACAAAACATGTATTTAGCTTCTTAAAAGATCTGTTCAATTCCTATGATGTATGACTGAATAATCTAGCACCAGGATAGAAGGTATACTGTATAGTTAAGAAGTATACCTAATAAATCTTAGAAATAAAACTAGTTCAGTTGGTTATAAACTTGCTTCTCTGTCAACAGAGCTTCGGCTGTCAACTGTGCCTCCACTCTTAATTGCTTTCTTCTTTTCAAACGACGTTCCAGCAGAGCAGAAAAATTTTGTTCTGTGCCTGATTACGTCGTCTATATATCGTATTTCATGTTTTATTAAACATGGTTTGAGGTATGCTTTCATCTGGCGACTGTAAGGTATGGTTTAACGAAAAAAGTGCAGTTGAACTGAGGTAATCAAGGGAAGTCGGCAAAGGTCTAGTTGCCAACAAGAGTCACGCTGGGAAGTAGAGGTGTTTTGCGACTGTTTAGCGTCGAGTAAAGATAGACAAACTGTTTTATTCGTAGCTTTTCTTGACTATCGAAGAGCGGATAACCTTTCTCTGCGCAAGTATTGTAAAAAGAAACCTTTTACAATTTAGCGACTTAGTATAAGATTCTCAGCCTATTTTCTTCTGATTATTGTTTTGTCTCTGCCTTTTTTTCAAGATTACCTTACCGGTGAGTCATATCGAAAATTCAGGCGACTGTAGCGTTACTAATAAACTTAATCATCTGAGATTTGCAGTTTGTATCTGAGGTAATTTCAAGTGTCTCAATTGATTCCTGCTTTATTGGCATCTGCTGCATGAAATATTCTAGTCTTCAGCAGAACAGCGATTAACCTTGCGATATTTTTACATACTGCGGCACTCTAAATTACCGCACGATTACCGGTGGTATTTTGAAAGAGCTCGATATGGGCCATACCCTCTCAGAATCCTATTTATAATTGCAAACAAAAATCATTACTCAAAAATCAGGCTTTTGGGATAATATTTTAGTCGATAACAACAATCATCGAAGTTTATTGTGGATTAAAGTGAAACATGTTTTGAAGACATTAAATTTTTTTAAAAACTATGAGAAGAAATCGGATTATGCTTTGAAAAACCAACAAGTTGCCACATGGATTTTTATTCTTCTATTATTTATTTCACTCGTTATTCTAGTCATCTATTCATCTAGTCAAAATTTAACTCAGACTGTTAAAGTTAAACGACCAACATTATTGATTTACAATGAATTGGAGCAAAAATATTCACAAACACTTCAATGTCCATGTTCTAATATTACAGTTGACTATCAGAAATGTGTCTCATTTCAACCTAAATATCATCAAATTTGTCAATCAGACTTTATTACTATGCAATGGATAAATAACATTGGGTATAATCTATCATTACTTGTCATAACAAACGAGGATGATTTTCGACAAACAGCAAGTGTTGCATTTCAACTATTATCAAAATTATGTGAGTTAACTCAAGAAGCAGTTAGTTATCAGTTAGGTATCTTTAATTCAACAAAATTCATATCAGTTAATGTTATTTCAAAGGCTTCATTTGAATCGCAAGCAGAAAACAGTATTAATATATTTAAACAAACAACAATGAATACATTTAAAAGATCATTACTATTAATTCAAAGTACAACACAAGGAAACACGTTAATGTCTTATCTATTAACAGATGCAAGGTTAATGGCGTTTCCAGCAGAATATAAACCGTCTGAGGATTATGTTTTCGATTATGATACCAGGTATAATAACACGAATGGAACATGCAGTTGTATGCTGTCACAAAATTGTTTTCAACAAGCTGCTATTTATAGTATAAATTCTCCTTATTATAATAACTATTATTCTTCTTATGTTTCGAGTAACATAGCACTTATTTTTCATATACCAGGTATTTGATATGTTACTTTTAATACATTTTTTACACCTTTTGGTTTTTTTTCTTGTTTAGGAATTTATGTGGGATGTTATATTGTTGATGCTCTATTACATTCTGATCTTCGATGTTTCTATGATCAGACATGCTTATCGTCATTACTCAATGCTATACAATATCCATTAAATAACAATGTTACAATTCTCAATTCGTCTTTAACAACTCAGTATAATACAACAACAACAGTTGGCGACCTGGTACAAAATTTAATGATTGAGCAATGGAATAATAAAACAGCATATGAATTCTATTTCAATACCTGTCAACCACAATATTGTACTTATTCATATGTGAGTCGAAGTACACCGGTATTTATCATTACAACAATCATTGGTTTAATTGGTGGACTTACAAAAGTTTACAGACTTTTAGTACCATTAATTGTACGTTTGATTCGTCGATACATTTGGTGGCCATATATTGAACAAAAACTAGAGTGGAACAATAATACCGTTGCTCCTGTACCGCCAACAGTTTCAATTTCTCCTGTAACTGTTGGTGATGATAAACTTGTAACAATCTTAGTATAATGAAATACTTTATGTGCACACTTTTGCTTATTTTTTCAGTGTAACAGCTTTCATTTGCTTATTGCATACACTGACATTATTTAAATATACTTTATTCTTGCTCGTTATCTCTAATGCAGTTCACTCATTTTACCATCAATGATCATTTGTATAAAACGAGACCAAGTTTAGTTCAAATAGCATCATAAAGTGTGAATTCGAGTTGAGCATGAGATTTTATACGTACAAGACAGTAGAATTTATTATCAAGGCTTGGAGGATTTTATTTGAAAAAGTCAAAAAGTGGAATATTTCAAAGGTGAAATGCATGTTCTGTAAAGATATTTGTTCATGGAATGTTTCAGCTTTTTATCTCTTTTATTTGCTAACGAGGGAATCTATGGAGATGAAGCACTCCGATTTCGTTCGTTCTTGCGTGGATCGATAGGGCATGGGGAGTAGGTAAAAAGCCTAAGAGGGTTCGGGCGGAGACTTTTCCCTTGGGGAGTTATGGGCATTTTACGCATTTTCTCACGTCAGCGGAAAACAGGCAAAATTAAAAAAATCACAACTCTGTCGGGGAAAATCGTAGAGGGCTGAAAGTTTTTTGGGTGGTGAGAATAAAGGTTGTCTTCATATCCTGCAAGTTTCAGAGTTCTATCACTTTCTCTCATTCAGAGGCAGAACTTTCCATAAAGGCAAGGAAACGCCATGAGAACACTGCTTTGTCTGTCTTACACTTTCAAATCTGTTTGACTTTCGTCATTTTTCCCTTGCTGACTGATGTACTTTCGAAAGCGAGTAATATAGCCGGAGTTTTTGACGTTTTTGAACTTATTATGAAATGATTGCCATGAGTGTCTCTTTTTACCTGTGACAGGATTTAGCTGGTCGTGGTAAGCAACGGCACGTCTTATGTACTGAAGAGAGAATTCTTGGTGGATGTTGTCTTCTCCCTCATCTTCATCGTAGTCAGAGTCTTGGAGAGTGTCTTCCTCAACGTCCTCTTCTGGACTCTGCTGAACTGTCTCCTCGTGAAAGTCGAGGAATTCTTCGTTCTCGAAGGAATATTCCGTGCAAGCGAGGATCGTTTCAATGTTTTCGAAGAGATTTTCTGCGACGTCCTCATCACGGGCACCAAAGCCTAACTTGTATTGACTGGCAGGTGGAAGTTTACTGATGTAGCGTGAGAGCAGTCGTCCTACGTTGTGTGGGTTGATCATAGTGATGTGACTTTGATTGTAGATGGTAGTAAATGACCGGAGCAAAACTTTGAAGAAAATCCTGTGAGATCTATTCTCACGTCCTTTATTTCCAAACGTAGCGCACCACCACTTGGTGGAGAAAGAGAAACAATAACAATAACTGGAACAACTGAACTCCAACTGAACTGAATGGATGAATGAATGTAACGAGAACGGAGCAGGTATATATATATGTGAGTCAGAGGGAGAGTGAGAACCTACTCGAAGGTTCCAGAACATCAAGAGAGATATCATCATGACATCATGTTCAATAATAGGAAGAGAAGAGAGAGATCATGACGTCATGTACAGTGAAGGAAGAAAGGGAGAAAAGATATGTATAAGGTGGGAGGAGGGATAACCTACGACCTTTATGACCTTAAAGGTCATAACAGACCCCTACCTATTTCTCTCTCTTTGTGTCAGAGAGAGTCAATAAGGAACGTAAACAAAGCTCTCTCCCTGCATACTAAGCACACCACTACCGAAGAGAATAAAGTAATTCCAACATGTCATCGTGACATTAAGAAAAAGATAGCACCACGCACTCTTTCGTACTGCGTTTCCTTGCCTTTCTGAAAAGTTCTGCCTCTGAGTGAGAGAAAGTGATAGAACTCTGAAACTTGCATTTTTTTAATTTTGTCTGTTTTCCGCTGACGTGAGAAAATGCGTAAAATGCCCATAACTCCCCAAGGGAAAAGTCTCCGCCCGAACCCTCTTAGGCTTTTTACCTACTCCACATGCCCTATCGATCCACGCAAGAACGAACGAAATCGGAGTGCTTCATCTCCATAGGTTCCCTCGTAAGTTATAGAGCTTTCTGTTTCTAAGGAAAGTACATGGGATTTTCCCAACATACTTTCTGTAGTATTTACGTTTCCCCGTCTCCACGTGGTCAGCTAACACCTCTATATTTATTTTTGTCAATAAAAAAATTGAATAACTTTTCAGCGAAACAAAACGGGCACATATCCTTTTAGGGCTTTCACGAGCTCGATATACTTTATCGATTGAGATATAAATCATTGGAAACGAAAGATGTCACCTCGGGAGGTTCCCTTGTAAGCCAAATTAATTGAAAAAGAATGACGTGGAGCAAAGGCTTTTAACCACTATATCACATACGTCATTACTAGAATTATTCGCATTTTTCTTATATTGATTGGTAAAATATCTTTACAGAATCATCGTTTCACCTTCGAAATATTCCACTTTTTGACTTTTTCCCAAATAAAATTTTAAAAGTTTGAGCGAGCACCGTTTTTGCTTTCATACAAATAGCATTAGACGTGGTGTTCTTACATTGGAAATTAGCTCTTCTCATAATCCGATTGAGAGTGACGCCCATGCTCCAGACGTCTGATGCTATCCGTGGATGGCAATTGCTTTCGTGGTACAGAGTGTCCGTGACATCCAGATACGTCCACACTTACGGCGGCGTTCGGACGCCGTCATCCAGTCCAAAAGTGGGGCTTTTGGTAGTCCATTTTCATATACCTGACACGACGACGTCCTGTCGTATTGCTGGATGCTCGTGTGTGCTGAACATCCAAAATGGCCGTCTTGAAAGAGTCCTTTTGTCATGAGACGCTTTACAGAAAAAGCAACAGCTTTCGGCACAAGACGGACGTTCAGGCTATCGTCTTAATCCGTCCTTCTATGCGGGGTGCGGACACAGTCCATCTTTTATTAACCTGAGAAATAGATTAAACTATGAGAGAAGAATTATACTGTAAATCCTTCATAAATAATTTTATGTTACTGATGAAGACGTTAGTATACGTCAAAACATTTTTTTAACATTGTATTGATACCAAGTATGATAAACAATATTATATTATTAATAAAGATACTACGTAGAAGAACATCTGAAAATGAGTAATATAAACATTGTTTTGTAGTCTGTGTTACTCCTTTTTCTAAGTATTAAGATTATTTTAGTAAAACTAATTGTTTCCTTTTTCTAAAGCACGAACGCAGATGTTAGCTTGGACACATGTGTTTATTGACTTTCGTGTGTACGAATATACCGAGCTTTCTCATGAAACGGCATTTAATTTACGGAAGGTCCCATACCACCAAAATCAAGGCAATTAATGGGAAAACAAGAAAGGTGCGCTCTTAGGGCCTTCGACAAATTGAATGCTGTTTCATTAGAAAAGCGGAGACATCTCATTTTGTCCAGAAATCGTTACTCTACTCGACTAGGCTGATCACTAAAAGATTCAATTATCCTCCATCCCTAAGAACAACCGAAAAGTTCAGCTAGCGGACGATCAGATACTTCAGGTTTTCAATCCTCAAACGTTACACTCGGAGGCTTCGACACCATAAGTACTCGTAGACTTAGAGACAGTGGTACCTCGACGAAACACGACTGCTGTTGTATCCAAGGACAACTATTCACAACAGAAAATGTTAAGAGATCTGTTTCTCTGCTCTGTATTTAAATTTCTCGCATTGTTAAATAATGCTTAACCGCACTGGAATATTATGTCAAGAAACATACTCAAATATGAACTTTTTAACAATTAGAAAGCATAGTGCATGGTTTAGTGAAATTCGAGTTTTTCACATTTTTTTTGCAGTACACTATTACTACGTTCTAAAGAGCTAAAATCTGTAGTAATGGTAGCTCTAGCTAGTATACTGTAAACATTTCAGACTTCCATCTCACGTTCTTGACGAGAAACCGAATTTTCTGTTTTTCATGGGATTTTTGCACTGTGATGCATTCTGCAGACCGTCTGTCGAAAAAAGATTTTCCAGCAGGAAATAGGGATGCACCGAGACGAGAAGTATCGAGAAGCCTCGATACTGTAGTCTCGAGTCTCGAAAAGAGAAAAGCTCTCTCGTCAGAAAAGCTAATAAGCTTCTCATGGCTCTCGCCGTTATTTTTTACA